TCGAATCCTGCATCAGGCTCTCCACAGGAAGCCTGCTTTTCCCTCTGCCTATGTCTCTGCCTCTGTGTGTGTGTCTCATGAATACGTAAGTAAAATCTTTAAAATATATATATATATATATATATATATATATATATATGTATATATACATAAATACACACAGAGAAGAGTTTCAGAATTACTAGTCCTATCCCACTTCATCAAACAATATTTACTCAAGATCATTTGCAGGTTTTTTCCCTTTATATCAAGGGTATATGGCCAAAGCACACTATTCAAAAGTTACTTCTATTAGTTCTTCTTCCTTCAATGATTTTAGTAATTTGAAATAGAATCGAGTTCATTTGTTTTCTGTTACCATTCAGTTTGTTTTCCCCCCTCTGCATTCTTTTTAAAAACGTTATCTAATTATTTTTAATGTGGAATTGTTACTTGATTCCCAAAGTTGAAACCATGAAAAAGGATATATGAAGTCGATTCTCTCACCTCCCTTTCATCCTGTCTTTCTATATCTTGTAATCACTTCATTAGTTTTTGGTTTGTCCTTTGTATTTCTTTTTGCAAAAACATTTAGGATACATGTATGTTTTCTTATATTCCCTAATTTCTTACATAAAATAATGTACGCTCTTTCATACTCTCCCATTTTCACTTAAAAGGATATCCTGGGAATTACTTCCCATCAGTTCACAGACATCTTCATTCTTTTCATAGTATATGTTTTTTTATATATATATTTTATATTTTTTTAGCAGTCTCCTTTACAGAGTAAAAGTTTTTAAATTGGTGAAGTTTAATTTATCAGCTTTTTGTTTTATGAATTATGCTTTGGGTATTGTATCTAAGAACTCTTGGCCAAACCAGTCCCACAGATTTTTCTCCCATGGTTTCTTTTAAAAGTTTTATAGTTTATGTTTTACATTTAGATGTATAACAGTTTTGAATAAATTTTCTTATAAGCTGTGAAGTTTAGGTCAAGGTTTTTTTTTTTTTTGCATATAGATTAACATTTCTTTTATATGTTTGTTAACAACAAATTATCTTAAGTCTCCTTCATCGGAGACTGTCTTTATTTCTGAAGGATATTTTTGCTAGGATATAGAATTCTAGGTTGACGTTTCTTTTCTTTTAGTACTTAAAAAGATGTTCCACTTCATAGGTTTTTTTTTTTTTTTTTATGATAGTCACACAGAGAGAGAGAGAGAGAGAGGAAGAGACATAGGCAGAGGGAGAAGCAGTCTCCATGCACCGGGAGCCCGACGTGGGATTTGATCCTGGGTCTCCAGGATTGCGCCCTGGGCCAAAGGCAGGCGCTAAACCGCTGTGCCACCCAGGGATCCCCATTTCATAGTTTTGATGAGAAACCCACAGTTATTTTAATGTTTGTTCCACAATATATAATCTACCTGCTTTCAGGACTTCTACTTTGCCTTCAGGTTTTAACTTTCAATTTTATTATGATGTGCCTGGGCATCAGTTTCTTTGTGTTTATCCAGTTTGGGATGTTCTGAAGTTCTTGAATCTATAGATTTATACCTTTCATCCGCTGTGGAATGTTTACAATCACTTTTTTTTCTTCAGATAGTTTTTCTGCACTGCATTCTTTGTCTTTTCCTTCTGGGATTCAAATCACAGAAATGTTAGGTCTTTTCTCATTGTCTCATAGATCCATGAAGTCCTGTTCTCTGTTTTTCTCTCTCTCTCTCTCTCTGTCTCTCTCTCTCTCTCTCTCTCTTTTTTCAATGCCTTTTCTCCTTCTTGTTCAGGTAGACTGAAAAAAATCCCAAAAGCAAAAGTCAGGGTTATCTCCTCACTTTTAGTCCTATAGAGCCTCCTCTGAGTCCTACTCCTCAGATCAGAAAGAAGGTTCTTCTGTAGAAGCTCTTCATATTTGTACCCAATGTACAGACCCAGGTGTCCAGTTTTAAGCTTTCCCGAATCCAAGCCAGGAGATGCCAGAGAAAATAAAAACAGGAAACTCACCACTGATTTGGTGTTAACTTAGAGTTTCGTGACCAGCCTTATTCTTGTGAGTCCTCAGATAGCTTTTCGGTGCATTTCATCCAGGATTCTTAGCTGTATTCAGTGGGGGAGACAGAGTGAAATCTGCTTACTCTCAAAGACTTTCCATCAATAAGCTCATTTGAGAACAGTTTAAGTGGAAGATTATTTGGAGACATTTTTCAAGCAAGTATGGAACAACCAGTGAAGAATCTAAATAAACTAGATTCTTCCCCCCACCCATTTCTTTGCCTATTGCCAAAAACTTTCCTCAAACCAGCCATCTCATATGTTTTCCGAATGTAGACATTTAGGGGCACCTGGGTGGCTCAGTTGGTTAAGTGTCTGCCTTCCATTCAGGTCATGATCCTAGTGTCCTGGGATCAAGTCCTGCATCAGGCTCCCTGCTCACTGGGGAGTCTGTTTCTCCCTCTACCCCTCCCCACTGCTTGTGATCTCTCTTATGTGCTCTGTCTCTCTCAAATAAATAAAATCTTTTTTAAAAAAATGTAGACATTTGGACATGATTTTTTAAAACCTACGGATTTCAAAAACGAATATTTTTAAGTTTTTAATTTTATTTTATTTGCAAGAGCCTTTGAGTAGGGGGAGGGGCAGAGGGAAAGTGAGAGAATCTTTTTTTTTTTTTTAAGATTTTATTTATTTATTTATGAGCGACACAGAGAGGCAGAGACATAGGTAGAGGGAGAAAACATGCTCCCTGCAGGGAGCCCAATGTGGGACTTGATCCCGGGACTCCAGGATCACGACCTGAGCCCAAGGCAGACGCTCAACCACTGAGCCACCTAAGTGCCCCTGATCATTCATTTTGTTTTTTTTTTTTAATTTTTTTTTATTTATTTATGATAGTCACAGAGAGAGAGAGAGAGAGATTGAGAGGCAGAGACACAGGCAGAGGGAGAAGCAGGCTCCATGCACCGGGAGCCCGATGTGGGATTCGATCCCGGGTCTCCAGGATCGCGCCCTGGGCCAAAGGCAGGCGCCAAACCGCTGCGCCACCCAGGGATCCCGCTGATCATTCATTTTGAATAAAATTTGTAGTTGTGGGATGCCTGGGTGGCTCAGCAGTTGAGCGTCTGACTTTGGCTCAGGGTGTAATCCCAGAGTCTCGGGATCAAATCCCACATTGGGCTCCCTGCATGGAGCCTGCTTCTCCCTCTGCCTCTCTGCCTCTCTCTCTCTCGTGAATAAATAAATAAAATCTTTAAAAAAATTTGTAGTTGTTATTGAACAATCCTTATTAACTTGAGTTTTAACATAGGTGTTCTTTAAACTTCATGTCTTTAATCAATTTTTCATTATAAGAATAACAAAACATACAATTAAACTAAACCAATTAACTTAAGGCTGTACAAAGACATCAGTATTTATTATGACTGATTCTTGAACTTTTTCATCTGATCTATGCTGTCTGTCCTACATGCTTATTCAGGAGTCACTTCACAAACAAAGATATCCAAATGGTCAATGAAAAGAATTGCAGCTTCATTAGTTAATAGAGAAAACAAAATCAAACCATCATGCAATACCACCAAAATAGCTAAAATGAAAAACAGTATCAATTACTGGCAAGAATATGGCATAACTGGAATTTTCATACTGTTGTCAGGAGCCTTAATTTGGTACAACTACTTTGGAAAATGATTTAGCAGTATCTATTTGTAGACCTTAGGACCAGCAGCTCCATCCCTTGGAATATATAAAATAGAAACATACACATATGTTCATCAAAATAATGTCTATGGGTGTTCAAAGTGGCCTATTTAAATTAGCCAAAAACTAGAAACCAAATGCCTATCAACTTTAGAATAGTTTAATAAATTGCATATTGTCACACAGTGGAATATTATACAGGGCTAAGAAAGAAGCGCAACTACTTATAAAAACATGAATGAAGGGATCCCTGGGTGGCGCAGCGGTTTGGCGCCTGCCTTTGGCCCACGGCGCGATCCTGGAGACCCAGGATCGAATCCCACATCGGGCTCCCGGTGCATGGAGCCTGTTTCTCCCTCTGCCTGTGTCTCTGCCTCTCTCTCTCTCTGTGTGACTATCATAAAGAAATAAAAATTTAAAACAAAAAAAAAATTTAAAAAAAAAAACATGAATGAATTTCACAAGCATTATGTTAAACAAGCGAAGTTTGTATCTTGATCTGGATATTGGTTCTGTGGGTGTATTCACACTGAAAATTTATCCCTGTTATACATTTGGGGTTTTTGTAGTTTTCTATGTGTATGTTATATACTCCTGTAAAAATAGTATATTAAATTAATTAGATCTTTTCTTGTTTGTTTCTTAAAGATTGACTTTTAGTATATCTACTTATTACTGACCCCATATTGAATTCATTAGATGGAGTCGTTTTTCAGTTGACTCAGTAGATGATCTTTCATCAGAAGACTAGGATTAGTGTCATCTTCGGGAGAATAACTTATTTTAATGCCCGAAAACACACAGAATTAGTTTTTAAACAGTCCAAATCTTTTATGTATTTTTAAGGCTTTATCTGTTTGAGAGAGATAGAAACAGAGCATACATGCATGCACAGGGATAGGGGCAGGAGAGAGAGGGAGAGGGAATCTCAAGCAGATCCCTGCTGAGCATGCAGCCCAGTGGCAGGGCTTGATCCCACAACCCTGAGATCATGACCTGAGCTGAAATCAAAGTCAGATGCTCAACCATCTGAACCACCCAGGTGCCCTGTAAATAGCATCTTTTAAGCATCTTTAAAGAAAAAAGTAAGGTGTGCTACATACAGAGCCTACTGAAGACATTCCATGGGCCCCTAAAGCTTTGCAGTGTGGATGGCCAGGTGGTACAGGTTGGCTTTTGTGTTGACCCTTTCACACTGTACTTGTAATAAATGTGGGTGCAGGTAAACACTAGTCGTATAACATAATTCTGTACCACTCCTCAGCCCCTCTGTTTTGTTTTAGGGTTTAAAAAAAATTATTATTACTTTTTTTTTGTTTTTACAGATCTTTTCACAGATGCTGCTGAGACTGAAAAAATGGCCAAAAGTTTAGAAGATTCTGAAGGAGTCTGTTTTGTTCCATCTTTTAGTGGATTGCAGGTATTTTTTTTATTTTAATTTTTTTTAGTCATTGGCAACTACCAACATTTCTCACCTCGTACCCACACTCAAAATTATGTACCTGCTACTCCCTTACCTAAAAATTTGGGCAGCAAGCAGTATGAAGGTGAAGATACATTCCAGGGCTGAGGAGTCATGACTTAGCACAAATTCCATGAAAAAGCACAGCAAATTCAGCCTAGAGCTCCACCCCTGTGGAAATGAGAAGTTGGCAGGTGTAGTGTACATAAGACCTAGCCTTACTTTATCATAACCAAAAAAATAGCCATTTCCCAGTGAGGGGGAAATATATCTGTATATTGGCATTTTTTTTTTAGAGGAAGTGTCCCATTGAGAATTAGAAAACGTTAGGATTACACACACGCACACACACACACAGATATATTTTGCAGTTATTTATAAGCTTGGTTAACTGTTGTGGTGGGTGAAGTATTGGTTACTTTGCCTAATAAAAAAGTGAACCTGGTAAGAGAGTTGGCTTTGTAATATTTAACTTAGTATTTAATTAAGAGATCTGTGTTACTGCTTTTGATTTTAACATATTGTTACAAAGACTTTTAAAAAACTTTTCAGGTATATTATTATAAACAAAATTCTTTTTTTTTTTTTTTTTGGAAAGCTTATACTGTCCCTTTAATCCTCCTCTAAATATGTTTCCTTTAACAAAATAAAAATTTCTCTTACTTCTAGCCCATCCCGTATTCAACCAATCAGTTTAAAAAGCCCCAATCTTGAAAGTTTGGATAATATCATGTAGAAGCTGGTGAAAAAGGATTAGATCAGGATGTTTCAAATCTCTAAAAATAGGATATTTCCAATCTAGACTTTCAATTGGCAATATTTTAATATCTATAATGATTTCCTTCCTTACCCTAAAAGACTAAAAGTTTATCAACTGCATGATAGAGATCACACTGTGTCCTCTTTAGAATGATGTGAGGAAACTAGCATCTCTGATAGGACAAGGGGTGAAGAATATTTGTTGGATTGAGGTTTCAGGAGGAAGCTTGAGATGAATAGTTGTCATTAGCCAAGGTAGGATTTAATTAGGCTACTATATATTCTTCTCTTTTTGAAAAATATGCTGGGAGACTTAGTAGTGACTTTATCTTGGCAGCTCTGTTTTTAACTTCTGCATCAATCCATATGCCTGTAAAAATAATATCAAATATATGATTAAAAAATATTGCTAAAGCCCAGAAGATTAGACAAAACTCACAGATGTGGTTTTTAATTTCATGTTAATAAATGTCCCTGTCCTGCCATGACTGCAGGCTGTTGATATGCTGGGTTCGAGAAGGGTGGGGGAGGACTGCAGTCCAAGTATTTCCCAATGTAGCAATGAAACTCTTAAGTGGGAACTGAAAGTTAATTCAGACAACAATAGTGTGTTGATACTGTTTGGAAAATAGGAGGGAGATCACTGATAAGCTGCCTAGGTCAACAACAAAGAAAATGAAGGATAGAGGAAATGGAAGGATGGAAGGGTCAAGTATCTGTGATACTGCCCTTAATTTAAGAATATTGTTATAGCCATAGATAACAGGGGGCAAGCCATTGAAAAATCCCAATGGCCTCAATTTCTCATGGGGGTCTGCTGAGAAAGGGGTATTGGGGGCACTTTGAGGAAAGTGAGAAGTCTGGGACAGCCACTAGCAAGGGGTGGACTGGAGCATGGGGGCCATAAGCCAGGGGTGGCGTTGGTTTGTACAGCCATTGTGGTTCTGCTCTGGTAGGTCTTGTGATTTGTGGACGGAGATACTAACATGGAATATCCATGATAGGTATCAGAGGCAGGAATCAGTGACTATCTGCTTAACTGTAAAGTCACTATGATGGTGGCAGTGATAGGGTAGACAGGACTGTGAACCAAGTGTCAGTCTTCAGAGGATGATGAGTCATGCTCCAATGAGGGTTCTTAGGTTTGCAGGGAACAGGCTTGCTTATGCTACCCTGAGAGGAGCTGGTTGTTCACTGGTATTGTAAAGAAGTCGGCAACTGACTTTGCAGTTCTTAATGTTCTTTGTGGTTTCTTCTCTGTGCGTTCACTTTTCTCACAACCAGCTCTGCTCTGTATTCTTTCTTCCTCATAACTTCTGCTTAATTGTCATTATTTTCCTCATATGTTTGCTTCTCCATAATTTGGAAATACAACCTTCTTCCACTCTGTGCATTTTAGCTTCAGTTCCCCCTGTTGATGGTCTTTTTCTGGATGATCTTTTCTGAGAAATCTTGAGAATCTGACTGGGCCTCCTAGTCTTCTCAAGCTTAGGACAGATTTTGAGTTAGTCATGTTCAGTCCCTATGGTTGTACTTTGGCAGTGGGACTAGGACATGAAACATGGCTGCTGTAGACAACGAGGTCTGTGGTTTCAAGCATTTTCTTCAGTAAGAGGTGTGGCCAGCAAGTACTAGGAATGCCATCTCTGGTTTTGTGAATGACTGGGATGTCTGAGCCACAGAAAGGTAAAACATGATGTTCCCTAAACAAACATGGGGGAAGGGAAGTGTCTCCAAACAGTAGATGTTTATGGTCTAGAGTGGTCATGGGAAGTTAGTACAGTGCTTCTGGCCCCTGTGGTAGAGAAGCTTGACAGTCTTCCACTGGATAGCTCTAACTGAAGCTATTTTCCCGGCACAGAGCCAGTTTTGTTATAGCAACCACAGTGTTATAGTCCACAGTAGAGAGGACTTCTCAGAACTGGTTACATTTTAGGAGAATTTATTTACAATAGAAGGAAGGATTCAAAGGGCACAGAAAGGGTTGTGAAGAAAGTCAGTAGTGGGAGAGGTTTGGGTAAGAAATTATAGTAATATAAAATTGTAGTGAATTCTTACTGTGCGTCAGGCACTGTTCTAAATGTCATGAATTTATCTCACTTGATCTTCGGTGACTCAATAAGGCAGAAGATACTCTTATCATTCTATTCTGAAGATGAGGAAACTGAGATTTATAGCTATTAAATCACTTGCGTGGTCTCAGCTAGTGAGCAGCAGAGCTGGTGTCAGGGCCCAGGTGTTCTGATTCTAGGGTCCAGGTTCTTAACCATTCTGCTGTACTGGTTCATGGTATGGTGTAAAATATGACAACAGGAATATACAATAGATGCCAGAAGAGTTTGTGTTTAGGTTCCCTTTTGACAAAGGGCAAGAGATGTTAACTATCCTGCACGTTCCCAGCTTATTAGGCTAATATCCCAGTGAGGTTCTTAACTACTCTGCTGTACTGGTTCATGGTATGGCGTAAAAGATGACACCAGGAATAGACAATAGATGCCAGAGGAGTTTGTGTTTAGGTTCACAGTTGATAAAGGGTAAGAGGCATTAGCTATCCTGCAGGCCCCCAGCATATTAGGCAAAAAATCCCTGTGGTGACAAGGGCCTGTGGGGGCAAGTAGTCTATGCTTTGGGCAGGAGTCGGCCAGGTTAGCTCAGGACTCCAAACAAAACTTTACGAGTCTTGCCATTCCTGGTTGGTTGATGGCCAGAGAGGCTTACTCAATGAGATTGGCAATGATAGGTTGGAGGTATGGCTGGAGACTCTCTGCCCTGGCAAGGTGTGACCAGGCCCAAAGGATCTTGCCTACAGTACAGGATTTTCCCTACAGTATGATCCCAAAGACAGATTCCTAACTAATATAGGGACATTGTAACCAAAAAGAAATTTTTAGGATTCCATGGGATTTATTATCTCTCAAGGCCTATTACTAATTAATTGTAAATTATGTGCATAGCTATATTTAGAAAAGTGATTTCAGGCCAGTCATACCAGTATTTTATGTGGTATATTAGAAGAAAATATTTTTATCCAGAAAATACGTAGCACACTATTTAGGGATTAGTTGCACTGGCTGAATCTGACCTGTCTTTGTTTTACAATTGAATGCCACCTGATATCGGCCAGCGTTACTGTATAAATAAGCTTTTACTGAGTGAATCATTAAAACATATTAATAAATTTAAAAAATAATCCGAATAAAATCACAATAGAAGGAAAATCACAGCTACAGTAAAGATAAGATGTAATATGGGATATCTTCAGTTAAGTAATGAGGAAGAGTATTGTTTGTTCATTGAGCAAATGTGGAGGATCCCCTGTGGGGGCCAGATGCAGTGCAAGGCCCTGGAGACACATTGGAATCAGTTTCTACAGGAAAGGAAGAGTTTTAACAAATGTTCACACAAATATACATGATTATAAACATTGCTATAATGCAAAGCTCTAGGATTCCATAAAAGTGATGATGGATGCTTGGTCTTGTCTTTGGGATCAGAAGTTTTTCCAGAGGAATCTGAGCCAAGATTTGAAACAGGAGTAGGATTAACTAGAAAAAGAGGTGGTAGAAAGTTTTCCAGGTGTGAGATGATGAGTCAAGGCCCTGAAGCTAGAAGGCACTTTTCCTGGGGACCATCATTTCCCGATAGTACCAGCACATCCCTCTGTTGTGACCTTTTATCATCCATTGGAACCATTCTTCTGTCTCTTTCTTTGTGAGATTACAAGCTCTAGCAGGGGTCTTTGCTCTTCTTCTTTGTGTCCCAGAATTGTCTTGCATTCCTGGGGATGCAAAGATGAATACAAACTTCATCCAACAGATATATAATTCCAGCTCAAGACTTTGGCTCTTTTATTATTTTTTTAAGATTGTATTTATTTATTCATGAGAGACAGAGAGAGAGAGAGAGGCAGAGACACAGACAGAGGGAGAAGCAGGCTCCATGCAGGGAGCCCTATGTGGGACTCGATCCTGGGACTCCAGTATCACGCCCTGGGCTGAAGGTGGCGCTAAACCGCTTAGCCACCTGGCTGAAGACTTTGGCTCTTTTATTTTATTTTATTTTATTTTATTTATGATAGTCACACACACACACAGAGAGAGAGAGAGAGAGAGGCAGAGACACAGGCCGAGGGAGAAGCAGGCTCCATGCACCGGGAGCCCGACGTGGGATTCGATCCCGGGTCTCCAGGACCGCGCCCTGGGCCAAAGGCAGGCGCTAAACCGCTGCACCACCCAGGGATCCCCGACTTTGGCTCTTTTAAAGACAGAAGTTAGGCTGGGTCATTTCTCCTCTTAGGCAATAAAGCTATTAAGCTAAGAAATAGAAGAGTTTCGTTTGAATGTCTGACAACATATTAGGTGAAGTGTAAAACACTGTAAAACACATCATTTGCATTATAGTTTTTTATCTTAAGACTAACTTACACTTTTAAAAAGCCACTCTAAAAAAAAATAATAATAAAATAAAATAAAAATAAAAAGCCACTCTACAAAAACAATTCTGGTGTAAAACCTTTACAGATGGATAAAAGGGATACTAGGATTACTTTGCATTTCCTCTTGTAAAGCTAAATATTTAATAGTTTGTTATTCTATAAAAATAACAATAATAATTTGTTAATCTGCTTCAGTATTGTCTCTTAGTATGAGTTCAAACAGAAGGTATAGCTAAGCCCAATACCTATGACTCAATCTTGCTTAAGTCCTGCTAGAGACTTATCCTAATAGTTGACATATTTTTAGACTATCATTTATTTTAAAACTAACTCTAAGCATTCTTTTTTTCTACCATGGCTATGTTTTTTTATTGCATAAAAGGTCTTTAAGTCTATAGATATAATTTAGAACTATAATAAAAATTCTTACTATCTCTTTTCTTTAGGCTCCATTAAATGACCCCTGTGCATGTGCCTCTTTTATGGGTTTGAAGCCTTCCACCAATAAATACCATCTTGTACGGGCAATATTGGAGTCAATAGCTTTCAGGTACCAAAACTTGCCCTAAACTCTCCCTTCCCCATATAGTATTGCAATTTCATTCTATTAATTTCTGCTAAACTAAATTATGATATTTCTTAATTTTAACTGAGTGTCTATACCTTTAAATTCATACTGTTTATGATGTAATCTGTTCTTATTGCTAATTTCCTCAGTATCTCTTTATTTTCATGTGTTATAGAACCAGTACCACTTAGATTTGATATCTGAAAATAGATGATTTTTAAAAATATGGTTGGCCCTTGAATACAATGACTTAGAACTGAGCCATATTAATTTTTTCAATAAACACCATACAGTACTATAAATGTATTTTCTCTTATGATTTTCTTAATAACATTTTCATTTCTCTAGCTTACTTTATCATAAAAATACAGTATATAATACATATACAAAATATGTGTTAATTGACTGTTATCAGTAAGGCTTGCCAGCAGCAGTAGGCTATTAATTAAGTTTTAGGGAAGTCACAAATTACATGCAGATTTTTGATTTTGTGGTAGGTTAGTACCCCTAGTTCCCATGTTATTCAAGGGTCAGCTGTATCTAATTTCTTAAGCATTAAGAGATTTAAAATGGACTTTCAAAGGTTTTTGCATCCTTATTGATAAAGGAGAATTCTAATTATTCTAATTAATAATGCTTCCATTATACTCAAAGATTAAATCACCAGAATTATTCTTTTTGTGTGTGTCCCTGTGTTATTTTCGTTATGGTGTAGTTGTAGTTTATTAAAATGAAGAATGTGGCTGTCATGAATATGGAACATTTGCAGTGTTTAAAATAAAAATGTCTGTGATTACAAAATGATTATTTTTGTATTTGGTGAATTCTATTTGATGTTGTTTGTGTTATGTCATCTTAATAGCTTTCTATTAAATGCTAGCTTTAAATTTTTATTTGTAGGAAGGATAATAGATTAAACTTATTTCTAAACAAAAAACATGCTCTCTTTTATCAAGGTGAAAAGTACAAGGATCTGAACCTCTTGCTTGTTTGAACATTTATTATCAACTTCCAGTTAGTATATTTGTTTGTTTTCTTTTGTATATTTTTTTACATACCATATAAATAAAACCACAGGTTTTATTTTTCTGTTGGAAAAAGAATTATGATATGAATTTTCTCTAAATGATTTTCTTGATTTTCTTGACTAGAAACAAACAGTTATATGAGTTGATGCAGAAAGAGATCCATATCCCTGTGACAAAAGTCCGGTATGTACACTTTGTTTTCAATAGATTTAATTAGAAATTGGGAGTGAATGGTAACCACTATTAGTTTTTTCATCATTATGATTATTCAGGATTTCAAAAAAAATTATGCTTAGTTTCTTTGCAGCAAAATTCTTGTTCATAGGAATTTGGAAAGAAAAGGGAAGCTAATTTTGGATTTATGGAGAATATAACACAATGTATAATTTAGGAGGATCTTAATATACACATGTATATTATAAACATCTTTAAAACGTCTTTTTTTTTAAAAAAAAAAGTCTTTTTTGGGTATGTGGCTATCCTTTTGGCATGGAAGCATCAAATTTTCTTTGCTGGTATGGCCAAATGAATTTTTATGCTGGCTTAGTTTAGTTAGCCTATTTTGAACTAGTCTTAGGACAACAGGGCAGGTGGGAAGACTGATGTTAGGGATAAGGAAAAGTGTTTGAAGATTACCTAGTGAGAACCTTTATCTTCGGGTCAATGCTAAGTGATATAATTTTGGAATTAAAAAGTTGCACTTGGGCAGCCCCGGTGGCTCAGGGGTTTAGTGCCACCTTCAGCCTGGGGTGTGATCCTGGAGACCCGGGATCGAGTCCCATGTCGGGTTCCCTGCATGGAGCCTGCTTCTCTCTCTCTCTCTGCCATGAATAAATAAATAAAATCTTTAAAAAAATAAAAAATAAATAAAAAGTTGCACTTAAAGAAAATAAAATCAAGGATCTAAAAAAATGTATGTGGCCCTTTAAAAAATATTAATAGTGTTCTTATGCTTTTGTTGAAGTAACTGATCTCAAATATCTTGCTCCCCACAGGGCAGATGGAGGAGTTTGCAAGAACAATTTTGTCATGCAGATGACTTCAGATCTGATTAATGCGAATATAGAGAGACCCGTCAACATAGACATGTCCTGCCTTGGTGCAGCTTCACTAGCTGGCCTTGCTATTGGTATGTGTGAATTTTATAAAAGTGAGAGCTGTCTTACAAGCTGTTCTTGCTGATAGCATTTCTCTTCCCAAATCATGGGATTATAGAGAGGGTCTAGAAAATGTTGGTGTCTATTAAGCTCTATACACATATGTACATTATGCACAAAACACTCCTCTGAGTATGAGTGGGTCTGTGGATGGGTCTGGGTGGATGAGACTGGGTGCACTTCCTCCTCACTTCACTCCTTTAGTCAGAATTATGAGATGAGAAAAATGAATTTCAACTGCTTTGTCTTCAACAGAGGGAAGGACTCTGGATAAACTTTCCGAGTAGATGGACTTTTCTTTGGCACGAGAAACCAGTCCATTTTTTTATTCATTGAAAATTTGTTGAGTACCTGCTATATGACAGTCACTACTGGGAATAAAGAGTTTTAAAAATGTAGTCCCTGCTATGAGAGTCTGTAGTTACAGTAAGACAAGTAAACCAATTATTATACTTGTGTGATAAACCCAGCAAACAGCCATAGCATTAAGTGGTGCAGGCTTCCCAGAGGAGGCTCAGTGTTGAAGGAGTTAGCAGACAGCCAGTAGAGGAGGTAAGGAGCCATAAGAAGTGAGCAGTCCAATAAAGAAAGCAACTTGTGCAAATGTCCCAGCCCGTAAATGCTGATAGGTGAAGATCAAGAGGAAGGGCTGGAGAGGAACAGAGGTCCAGTTGTGGTAGACTCCTCATAAAGAGGAGTTTGAACTTAATCATGAAGACACTGGAGAGCCCCTGAAGAATTTTAAGCAGGGGAGGGACATGGATGGATCTATATTTGAACAGACCCCTTTGGCAATTAGTGAGAAGATTAGTTGGAGGGTGAAGAATGGACTTGGGAAAAGCAATTAAAGGGTTCCCTAAGAAGCGGGATGCTGCCTTGTGGAACTAGGAGTATTTAATATGTTCCTGTATGGAAGGGAAGAGTGCTTGTACAAACAGGATATTTTGTAGTTAGAAGTTTTAGGCTAATATTTAGCATATTAAAGTTATAATTCCAAAAAGTTTGAAATCTTAGTAAGTTCAACTTAAACTGTATTCTACTAAAAATCTGTTAACTTTGAATAAAATTAAAACAGTCACTTTCAAAAAAAAAAGTCACTTTCATTTATTCATTGATTAATGTGTGATTAATTCATGTTGAAGAAAAAACTTTCCTTTAAATCATTCCCATGGGATCCCTGGGTGGTACAGCGGTTTGGCGCCTGCCTTTGGCCCAGGGCGCGATCCTAGAGACCCGGGATCAAATCCCACATCGGGCTCCCGGTGCATGGAGCCTGCTTCTCCCTCTGCCTGTGTCTCTTCCTCTCTCTCTCTCTCTCTCTCTGTGACTATCATAAATAAATAAAAATTTAAAAAAATTAAAAATAATAAATCATTCCCATTTACAAATTTAGTTAAATTTCTTTGTATATTTCAACTGATACAATTTTTTTAAAGATTTTATTTATTCATGAGAGAGACAGAGAAATAGGCAGAAGAAGGGGGCTCCCCACAGAGAGCCTGCTGCAGGACTCAATCCCAGGACCCCAGGATCACGACTTGAGCCAAAGGCAGACATTCAGTCACTGAGCCACCTAGGTGCCACTCAACTGATACAAATTAAATACAGTTGACTTTCTTTTTAGTAATTTCATATGCCTTACTAACTTAGAAGTATAACAAAATCTTTTCAAATACTTGAATAACTCTTGCAAAATGTATAAATTAAGCTATATTTGCAGTAAATCAAATGCTCATAAACATTCTAATATTGTTTATAAGGCAAATCAAATTTTTCTATGCCTTTTCACCTTATAAGACTAAATATCTCAGATTCTCTTGAACATTTAAAATACTTTAACAAACACATATAGATTATTCTTAGAACATAGTAGCTTGAGCTTTATGTATTTGAGCTTTATCTATTTCATTATATTTGTATTTAATTTCAAACCTTTCCAATACAAAGAGACTTTATTGGTGAGAGAAAATATACTTTGAGGAGACTTGTCAACTATGTTAGTACTTCAGAGGAAGTGTAATATACCAGGTTAATTAGTAAGACACCTAGACTATTTCAGACTCCTTATGGGCATAGTTATAAATATGTTTTCTTGCTGCTTTTTATTATAAATCACATTTGTGAAGAACAATATATGCCAGAACAATATTATCATGAAGTGGAATTTAAATAACTTCTATGAAATACAATAGCTTGAAAAAGAAGCTACTTGTTATATTCAGACTCAACTTTGAATTCATCCATATTCCAGGGAGTTGCCTCTTACCTCAAGATATATGACCAAAATCTTAATCTATCTTTGTTTTTTTTTAATTATGTAAAGGGAAAATATACAATTACTTACTTGTTTTCTTCATAGCAAGTCATGAAATTAAATGATGATAGGGTGAGATTGCTCTGGAAATGGTTTGATGCTGTGCCACACGGAAGTAAAGCTGATAGTTAGAAATCAAATGATTTTAAAATCCTGGTGTATTTATTCCCAGGGATAGTCAATCTAACAAAATTCAAAAGCAACAAAATATTTTGAATTGTGTTTTAAAACAATAGTTGTTTACCTGTGCACCAGTTTGCATAGGTTTGTGGATAAACTTTATGGACTCCTTATTTGCCTTAAAATTTGAGAGTAATTTTTTCCACCTGTAGGGTTTTGGACTGACAAGGAGGAACTAAAGAAACTGAGGCAAAGCGAAGTGGTTTTTGAGCCACAGAAGAAATGGCAAGAATATGAAATGAGTATGGAAAACTGGGTCAAAGCAGTGAAACGCTCCATGAATTGGTATAACAAGATGTAGCACTAACAGGAATGACGGAAACCATATATGGCTGGTTGATGGGACATGCTGATGAGACACAGCTCAGGGATAATAACCAATACGACGATGACTAAGAAGATTTCAGATAAGCTTTGCAACCTGAGAGAAAAAAACATTGCTCTTTTGAATACAAAACAAAACAAAAAATCCCTAATTTTTAAATCTAAAGCCTGGTAAGATTATAAGGCAATAGTACCTCAGAACTTTATATCTTCTGTTTTGTAGCAGATTCCAAAGGATGTTAACCATTTCCAGCCATATTTTGACAGCCATGGGTCCTCCTCCGTTTTATACTGGGTCAATGATACATACGAACATAACCGTTGACTCTCTTGAGTTAATAATTCTAGGTCAATCACCATTCATGTTTTGTTCCAAAATTAAGTGACAGGTGTTCCTTAACTCTTTAAAATTAAATGGGCTATATGAAGTTCACATAGCTAGAAAGAAAGAATAACTGAGGAAACGTGGAATTTGGAAACATTAATATTTTATATTTAAAGCCATAATTGTTCAATACTGTATCCAAATATGAGCTCGATGTGCCCCTCTCAGATAGGGTTATGTTAGTTCTTTCCTTTATTGGGCTTAAAGACACTGCCTTAATTTTTCCTTCTTTAACCAAATTCTGAGCATTCTTTAAGTATTGAAAAATAACTTTAGTCAGTGAAACTACAAAGGGTAATGATTCAAAAGGAACAAAAAAATACTTTCTTCCTCAAATAGGATTTCTTTAAAAAATTTCTGGCTAAAGTAAAACATCCATTTTTTACACAGTATTGGTACTGAATATAAATCTGCTTTTTTCTTCCTGTTCTTTATCTTTGTTGTTGAGATACTTGCACAAATGTCTTTTGCTTTTATTAAGTGCCTAATCGAAGAGCTTAATTTGAAGAAAGTGCCCTAATACATTGGTGATGTAAGATTTGCCTTCGTTGTGGGTATTTTACTTATCCAGGTGTCTTTTATTTTTGTTCAGTCTACTCATCTCTGTGAGATAGGAGCAGTGGGTAATGGAGATGTATTTATACAAATGATTACCCTCCAGCAATTATTGGGCCAGAATTCCATGGAGAGGTGCAGGGAAAGTTCCACATTCTCAGACTTTCTTGATAGAAACGTGAAAATGTGAACGAATCAGAGCAGCAAGTAGCTTCGGGCCCAGTAGAAAATTATCCTGTGGCAGGAGACTACCCTCCAGCTTGTTCTCATGTTATTTGCCCCTCCCACCATTTAGGCGTGTAGCAATAATGAATTTCTTCCCCTCTTTATCAGGCTTTATCACATAAAGACCTACTGTTATAGAGCTAGTTGTTAAATACTAACCTAACATAAAAAGTGACTATTACAGGGAATTTTGTTGTTGCCATCATATATGTCCATTTCAGTGACAGATATGATAGGACTAGGGGTCACACACTTCATTTCTGCAAATTCCATTTCAGTGAACTTTGTCTTCTGGAAGTATTAGAATTTGTAGTGGAATCATTACAGCCAATATATAGTAACATTAGCTCCATTCATTAAGATTTGGAAATATTTTTGTTAAGTGGAGGTGTTTTGTTTACTGTAACAAGTCAGATTCCATTATGTAGATGATACTCTTCTTTTTATTTTCATTTTTTATGCCCCTTTTACAAAGCTTAGTGACTGATTATAGGCCCTTTTATCAAAATCCGATCACTTGCAAGCTGCTCCGTTGTTTTTTATATTTGTTTCTCACAGATTCTACTTCTCAGTGGGTTTGATTTCATAGGAAAGAATTGTCTTTTTGTGTTAGGATATACTGAATTGTAATATTATTAATACTTAAATCTTTGTTAGCTCATTTCCTTTTCACATTCTTCTTTCTCATCGTAAAACCACAAGATGAAGGATAAATAAGTACCTTTTAGATAATCAGAAAAAGTAACTGTGAACAGGTCTCATCGGAATTATCTCTTCAAAAATCAGTGGCTAATTTTTTCTTCTATTAGTCTAGAATTAATCTTTTATTTTTACTACTTCTGGCTGTTTTTTAGTGACACAGTTTAGTAAATCTTTTGCCAGATTTGACCTAGATAAGAAATGTGACCACATTTGCTTTCATGGTTGTAGAGACAGTTGATACTCAAAATCAGTTGAGCAAAAACATTATCCTTTCTTTCCATCTTCCAAATTTATTTTCATTTATACGCTAATATTTGCAGTTTAAAAAAAATCATTCTAAGATTTCTCAGCATGTTTTATTTTCCCATTATGGATCAATCAGATATCTTTAGGAGGCCTGTAGCTACCTTATCAAGGAGGAGAATGTTTCTGTACAGTCCTTTTTAAAATGGTACTAATTGCTTTCATACCTAGACTTACTGATTTTTCTTTTTTTTTTTAATGCCACCATAAGATGGTTTCTCAGTCTCAGTTTGATTGATGTTTGGGACAAGTAATGCTTTGTCTTGGGATGTTGTATTACGCATTACAGGCTATTTGGCTTATACTGCAGGAGGCAGTATCACCCCCAGTTGAGAACCAGTAATATAAACTATTAGAAGAAAATTGAAGACTCAGCAAATGTAGTGTGTCTATCATGCTTCTTTTCTCTCTGCCTCATTTTACCTTAGGAAATGGTTGTTAGCAAAAAGAGATGGTTGTATCTTAAATAGGGTTTCTATTTTACTGGTTAATAAGGCAAGAAAAAAAAATCTTATGTTGTAATTGTCTTCTGCTGTTTTTTTTACCCACTCACTGCCGTCCCCATGCCTGTATCCTCTGTGGTCTTAATGAGTGGGCTTATGACTTCAGTATAGTATTAATGTAGTCTGCAAAGCATCTCGATCTGCCTTTTTGCTTCCTTTTCATCTCTGAACAAAAGAGATGATCACTCTCTTTTACCTGGTTCTGTGCAAGACTCCCATCAATCTGGAAGTTCCCCAAAAACAGAAACCATGTCTACTTCACAGAACTCAACTCTGTGCCTTCCTATTGGTGGGATGAATTTTTACTTTATAAGTGTAACTTTTTTTGCATATATACTTCATCCTTGATTTACATACATTTATTAATAGGGAGCAGCATATATTTGTTGTGAGTAAAATATCTTTTGTTGGATTAAAAAGGACAACAGTTGACCCTTGAACAACATGGATGTGAACTGTGCAGGTCCGCTTATATGCAGATTTTTTCCATAAATGTATGTACCATACTGTAAATGTATTTTCCTTTTGATTTTCTTAATAACATTTTCTTTTCTCTAGCTTACTTTATTTTCAGAACACAGTGTATAATGCAGATAACATACAAACTATGTGTTAATCAACTGTTCATATTATCAGTAAAGATTCTGGTCCCAGTAGGCTATTAATAGTTAAGTTTTTGGGGAGTCAAAAATTATATACAGGTCTTTGTGCAAGGGATTAGCACGCCTAACCCCCCGTGTTGTTGAAGGGTCAACTTATGAGAGCTAGAATCCTCTTACTTTCTTTTTTTTAATTCTTCATATGTTTATATATTTGCATATGTGTTTGTATAGAGATACACATAGTTGTATCAACTGTCTAAGGTACCGTTGAAGCCTTTTCATTCACAGGTTTTGTGTATTTGACTGCAGACAGCTAGCTCACAGACAGAATCTTAAGAACACCAAACCCTCTCACGTTAGAGGGAAGTAACTTCAGAAACACCCCCTTCTCCAGAGGACCTATACTGGGGACCAGTCTTTAATTAAAATAATCTAACCCAGGAGTTTGGCAAGTATTTTAGAATTCTCTGAAGAGAGGACCCTGGAGTTCTTCAACTTGAAGCGATTCTAGAGTCATCCAGAGACAACCTTGATGGCTCTAATCTACCCTAAAGGGCTCTGAATCCCTTTGGGAAATCTAGATCATGTTTCTCAGTTAGAATTAAAATATACTCTGGACCTACCTGGTCCCAGAATCATCTTCTTGCATACCCAATGCTGGGTCATCTGGTTCAAACCAGTCAAAACAGTAACCCCAAAGAAGTCAAGTAGGTGATCCAAAACCACATTGTTTTTAAGTCTTGGAGCCTCAGATATTACAAATATGAATACCAAAATGCAAATATTTTTTGCACTTAGAACACTGGTTCTAAGTCATTGGCTGTTTTGCCACCATATTCCCATGGGACCCTTGCCCTTAGGGTAATGCAGGAATGATCTTGGGAGTGGGAATGTTAGAGACAGGAACCTGAAGAATCAGATATTTCTGAAATTCTCTGTATGCCATTTCTACTGCCTTTCCCCCCTTTATTTTAAATTTGAGTCATCAAAATGGCTATGTCTGTATAGATACCTATATTATTTAGAAAATAAATGATGTAAGGTTTCAATTTAAATGAGCCATATCTTTACAAGAAACTTTCAGACTGTTCCAGAGTAGCTGTACCATTTTACATTCCAACCAGCGATGTATGAGTGATCCAATTTCTCCATATCCTCACCAGCATTTGATGTCACAATTTTTTATTTAGCTACTGTGATACGTGTGAAGTTTTCTCATTATGGTTTTAATTTGCATTTCCCCAATTAATAATGGTGTTTAACATCTCTTCATGTGCTTTTTTGCCATCTATTTATCCTCTTCAGTGAAATGTCTGTTCATGTTTTTTTTTTGTCCATTTGCTAATTGGGATGTTTGCTAAATGAGCCATATCTTTACATGAATATCTTTTTAAAAAATCTTTTTAAAATCAGTATGGTGACTTAAAAAATCATTAAGTAGCATTTCTAAATCCTTCTAGGCAAAGTGTATATAGCACTTGAATGTGATTTTATAATGTACTGGCAGAAGAGTTCTCACATTTCTTCTGTACTCATTATGTAGTATAGTACTAATACTGTATAACAGCAAAACAGTTTCAAAGATACTTTTACTTAGAATGTTAAGTAGAATGTACAAATACATGTTTTGTCCATAGCTATCATAATGTTTGTAATCTCTTTTATTTAAAATAAGCTGATTTGTGTTTCAGAATGATTGTTTAAAATTAACTTGAAATTTTCCTATTTGTGCAAGATGATTAATACAGATTCTAGTTCATATGCATCAGCGAATTCATAATCTTATTTCTCTGATGTTCTTTACAAATTTCATAGTGTTATTAAATAGTCATTGAGAACCTCATAAGTCGATGTTGAGATCTACAAATACAATCTAGGTGCATAGCAATAGGAATGCATATGTGAATTTTTCTCTAATCTTTTTTCTACTTTAACTTTTGGATTTCTTTTTAATTTTACCTGGAAATTCTTATTTAATGATATTTCCTATTTTGGTTCCTGCTCATAAGGTCACAGAGAAATGGGGCACCTGGCTGGTTCAGTTAGTAGATCATGTGACTCTTGATCTCGGGGTTGTGAGTTTGAGCCCCATATTGGGTATAGAGATTATTTAAAAATAAAATCTTAAAAAAAAAAAGATTACAGAGAAACAAGCATATGTTAACTACAAGATAAATTTGGGCTTAATATGGTTAGAGAAGAAAGGTTTTCTGTAACCCTGCCTCTTTAAATCCTGTTAGGCTTGTCATTCTATATTGTACATTTTTGCGCAAGGGAAATTACTAGAGAAGAGGGTTAATTCTTTGTGGTGGGAAAAATGATATGGTTTGTTGTGAAAATATACTGTATTTTTAAATATTTAGAAAGATTTTAATTAAGGAAAAATTTCAAATACTAACATGAAAGAACCTAGCAGTTGTTAAAAATCCATTCTGAAAATTACCTAAATTATTTGGGAAACTATAATGAAACAGTAAATGATTTTTTATATACATATTATGTATTAAAGTCATTTTTATTTAGTGTTTCTCTATTCATTGCTTTGGGTTTACACACATGCACAGCAACATTTGGATGGTGAAGGATTCAGTCAGTCTGGATTCCATTCCTTGACTGTAGTGGGGCCCATGGTATCATTCCAAAGTAGGAAATTTGAAGGTTGATAAACATTCACCTATTAGGAGAAAGAGAGAGGTTTTCTTTTAATTTTATTTTAGGTCAAAGTAATATTAGTCTAAGGAGAATAAGGAAGGGGGGCATTATGGAGATAGGCAGAGCTGGCTTTTCTAAAATTTATAGCAATATTTTTAAAGAGTCTTGCAACTGTAAAAAAAACATTGTAGGAAACAATGGGGATGGTAGGGGATAATAATGGAATTTTTTTGCTACTTAGAAAAAGAAACACCCAATTAAGAGCTGGAGCTCATAGGACAGATACATTAGATTTGCTAATTCCCCCTCTTCCTCCCACTCCCCCGCCACTTGGGCAAGAACATTAGCTCCTGGATCCCAGGGAATTCTCATATCCTCTCACCCAGTCCACATGGCTCTTGCCCTGTCTCTCCTATAAAGTCCAGTCTCTGTCAGCATCTCAGCTTCATCACCAGGCATTGTCAAGAACTGAGAAGAATTTAAAATTTTACTCTACTTGGAAACTAACAAATTAGGCTTCCACAGTTCCACGAATATTGACAGAAGATAGGAGACTCCTGGGTCAGAGTCTTTATTACTCACAGGCATAGCAAACACCACAATCTTCATATTTGCATTGGTTTCCTTTACCTCTCAACTCCTACATGGAGCAGTCCAGGTTGATGCTGTGCATGCAGTGAGTCTGCAGTACAGCTGAGGAATCTTAAGCTTAGGAGACTTGGGTCTTGTAAGGGGCTGCAAGTAAATGTGTCTGATGCTCACTCTTGAGGAAATTATTGCTTGTTAAAAAAAAGATTTTATTTATTTACATCGGGAGAGGGAGTGCGCCTGCGCGAGGGGAGGGGCAGAGAGAATTTCCAGCAGACTCCAGGCTGAGCACGGGGCCCGATGTGGGGCTCAATCTCACAACCATGAGATCACAATCTGAGTGGAAATCGAGAGTCCACACTTAACTGACTGAGCCACCCAGGCACCCCTGTTTTACCATATTGAACAGTAAATAAAACTGCCCTCTAGTCTGGAGGGAGACACTATTGCCTCAGTGCCTCTGCTTGCAAGATAAGCAGAAATGAGAGAGCCACATAAAATTGACTCTAAACAATAAATTCATTATCTTGATTATGGCAGTGATTTCATGGGTGTATACCTATGCCCAAACTCACCAAATGATTTACTTTTTGCACAGTTTATTGCATGTCAGTTTCACTTCAACACAATGAGAGGAAGAGAAGTCTCAAATTGTTGGGACCAGTAGCCTCAGTGCCACCGAAGTACTTTCCAGAAAAGGAGAATTTCAGGCCCTAATTTTTTAGCTTTTTATTTTGAAATAATTTTAGACTTAACAAAAAAGTTGAGAAAATGGCACCAAGTTCCCCTCATCATCCAGCGTCCCCTAATTAATAATTTACCTAACCAAAATATAATCACCCAAACCAGGAAATTCACATTGATAGAAGAGAATTAATCTACAGATCTTAGTTGGATCTTGTCACTTTCCAAGTACTGTCCTTTTCCTGGCCCAGGATTTAATCAAGGGTCCCACATGGCATTTATTTTCATGTCTCCTTAGTCTCCTCCAATCTGACGGTTCCCCAGTCTCTTTTTTCTTCACATCTTTCTTGACAAAGAGTACTAACAGTTACTTTATAGAATGTCCCTCAATTTGAGATGGCCTGACAGTTTCTTGTGATTAGGCTAAGGTTCTGAATTTTTGTTACAATGCTGCAGAAGCAATGTGGCCTTCTCAAGGCATGCTATCAGGGAGACACATCAGTATGTCTTCTTATTGACGATGTTAACCTTGATCACTCGATTAAGGTGGTATCTGCCAAGTTTTTCTATCATAAGGTTACTATTTGCCCCTTTGTGACTAATAAGCATCTTGTGAGGAGATCGTTTTAGACCATGTAAATACCCCGTTTCCTTTTTTTTTTTTTTTTAAATACCCCGTTTCCCATCAAACTTTTCACTCACTGGTTTGAGCATGCATGGTTAGTTCTTGCTGGCAACAATCACTGCTGTACTATTTGTCTAATAATGGTGATTTCCTATTTACATGATTTCTTTACATTCATTCATTGGAAGAGCTGTCTCTCATCTTCCATTTATTATTTATACCACTATTGGTCATCTTTTGGTCCGCCTCACATCCTCTTGGTCCACCTTTTTATTCCAGTTGTTGCAGCAATCATCTGTCCAGTTATAACCTGACAACACCTTGCATCACCATAACTCCTCTGTTTTGTGGGCTGGGATTTCTCTGCCTCCCAGCTTGGAACTGTTTGGAACCAATTCTGTCATTTTCACCTATGATCAAACTAGGAGGTGCTAGAGAGCTGAGACTCTACGGTGCAACTTATAAACAATGGGGATGAGAACCAGTGTATAAACATGCTCCTCTTCGGTTCCATAAGTGGACAATTCTGAGATGTGTTCTTCACAGCTCCTTGCACTCCTCAGCTCCATCCAGCCTCAGTGACCTCCAGCAGATGACCATCTCAGAAACACAGCCTTAGATTGGCTTTTCCTCCTTCATGTTTCAAGCCTCCCAGCCCCTATTCCTGTTCCTTGGAATCATTTCCCAGAATAAACCACCTGCATAGAAGAATTTGCCTCAGAGAAGGAGTGAGGAAGGAGAATAAGCAGATTTGTGCATTACTAGTCGTTAAATATTTTGACTCTCACATCTTTCACATCTACAGAGGAGAGGTGTGCAAGCATATTCATAACAGCAGAATAGAAGAAAAAAAAACAAATGTCTATCAGCAAGAGAATGGATTATATAAATTTTGTTGTTTTTTACATCCATGAAAATGAATGAATTACATTAAGACATGACTCAAAGTGAGCCAATAATAATTTGGAGATGAGTAATAATGTTTGACCCTGGATATATATAGTTCAAAAACACGCAAAACTAAGCAATATATTGCTTGGCGTTAAATAAGTATGTGTTGAAATTGTCCAGAAAAACAAGAAGATTGTAACTGAGGATAGGGTTATTATAGGGAGGGAAAGGCAGAGGGTCCTGTTGGGGAGGCACACACAGAGCTCCAGTGATGGTAAGAGTCGATTTCTTAAGCTGGTACATGAGGGTGGGTACATGAGGGTTTATCATTATTCCTTATACTTCACGTATTTTTAAGATGAATAAATTTTAAAAAGATGAATAAATTTTTTATCATAAAAAGATGTTAGGTTTGATATTGAGAAGAGGTTACTTTTATTAAGGGCGACTTGTGAAATCCTTCCACTGGCCTAACCAACTAAGTCATTCCAGATATGAACTCAGGAGAGGGTTGTGTTCCTGTCTGAGGAAATTCCAAGGCTTGGATTCCCCTCCGCCCTATTGATGTGATTCAGCTGCACATAATAGGACAGACAGTGTCTGGAAGACAAGGCCTTGATTTAACACATTTTTCTTTTAAGTGTTATTCTTTTGTCAGTCACTGGATGGATTAGGTGTGAAAACAGGATGCTGTTTTTAAAAAGTCGGTGTCTGCAACTGTCCCAGACAACTGCAGATCTTTTTTGTACAATAAAAAGGTGTCGTTAGGAACCTGTTACTCAAAGTGTGGTGTTTGGTGTAGCAGCACCAGCGCTGGGTGGGAGCTGATTGGAAATGCAGCCTCTACATCCCACCTCAGACCTACTGACTCAAAGCCTGAATTTTTATAAGATCTCGAAGTGATTCCTGTGCACACAAAAGCCTGAGAGGCACTAGTCCAGAAGTCCTCTAGCTGTGGCTACAGAGAGCCACCTCCAGCACCCAGGAGAGAGGGCAGTGCATGGAAGTCCTTCAGCTTTAACTGTAGCAGATCTGTATCTTCCGGGGCCCTCTCTTGGGTGATCCACATATTTACAAGCATAGACTTTATTTATTTATTTATGCTTCTTTCCTCTTTCCAGCTGGGCTGGGCTGTGGCACTCTCATCCATTCAATAAAAACTTCCCGAGCTGCTCGTAAGCACTGAGGATAGGGTAGTCAACAGGGTGGCATGACTCAGAATATCAAGGAGTTTACAAGACTGAGATACTCAATGAGGAATTATAAGTAAGTCTGATGAATGTCAAAGACACAGTTTTATGGGAAAAGAGCTGGAGATGGGGAGTCCGAGGAGGCTTTTCAGAAGAAAGTAATCTCAGCCCTGATGAGAAGTAGGCACGTGAAGGTGAGATGAGGGTGAACCAAGCACAAGGAATACCCCTGAATGGAGCTCTTTGGACATTTATATGTGTATATCCAAAGCCTTGCACAGTTCTTGGCGTACAGTAAGTACTTAATAAGTGTTTGCAGAATCAGTGTGTGTTCTGTCATGTTTCAGACATCTACTCTCTGGCATGGGAGATAGTAGAAGCTTTATTTTCCTTTTCAAAGGAAATAAGATCCCTTAATGGGGAAATGAGAAGGAAGAGAGCTGCGTGTTGTGCAAATTGCTAAATTGGAACTGTGAGTGGGAACAAAAAATTGATTTACATGAATTTTCCTCCCTGAAGCAACTTGACAATTTATTCTGTTCTGGAGAATTTTCAGTTTTTGGCTTCAAAACCAAGCTGTTCCTTATTCTGAATTTCTTGGCCTGCTGTGAAACTAGCATTTAGTGTCTTTTACAGCATACCCTGATTAGGTCATGGAAATTCACAGCTAGATCAAACCAGTATATGGAAAATTTGAAATGTTCACTGCCCATTTTACTTCGTGGTATCGGAAGGTGTTATGAAACATTGACTTTTAAATATTTTTTTTTCAAAAGCAGTATTATCTAATGATCACGATTGCCATAATTTATTGAACACTATATGTATATTACAGGGCAAAATCCTCATATTAACTCTATATGAGAGTAAGTCGAGCCATATGAATATTGCCAAATATTAGCAATTCATATGATTCCACTTAATGTCGTCTTCAGATTCTCATCTTAGACACTTATTAAAGAGATTCGAGAATCCCTGACAGCCATAGCCCTCCTCCAAAATTATGCACTGAGTTTTTATTATAGATAAGGAGATCTTGAGGGAATTACAGCTCCTTAATAACATCTACCCGTCTTACCCTCACTAGTCCCAGTGCTTTATGTGTCTACCATGATGGTTTACACATTGTACTGAAGTGGTTTACCGTTCATTTCTCCCACTAGACTGAGTTTCTTGAGGATGGAGGTTTTTTTCCTGTCTTGCTCATTTTTTTTGTTTCATTGTGCCTAGAGTATTTGAAAAGTATTTGCTAACGTGAAACCTTATAACAAAATTTCTGTGGAAACTTAATAAACACTATTGACTTGTTACTGGAAAATGCATGGTAATCACTCCACCGAAGCTTTTGCATTTTAGAATCGGTCCAAAGAGTACTGCATTTAGCATTGTCGGACTCCTAGGAGTTTATCTACGTACAGTTATGCAGAAATTGTCTCTCCACCCCACCTCAGAGAAAAGTCCAAAGGTGCTCTCTCACTTCCCTCACCTCCTTTAGATATTTCCTTAAATGGCATCTCTTCTGCCGCCCTCCCTGAGCACCCTATTTAATACAAGCCATCCCTCAAACACCTTTTCTGCTTCTTCCTCCCCCCACCATAGCACCCATCACATAATAGTTTACATTTTGCTTTTTTTCTTTTGCATATTTTCTTTCCCACCCCACGAGAACGGGAAAGAAAGCTCCTACGTGATTTTTCACAAAGGCACCGAATTGATAGACTAAATGTTTTAATTTTGAACAAAATGGGGCAGGTATTTGGGGGTGTGGGCTGCAATTTCCTCTTCAGCTTCTAAATGACATGGTGACCTGACCCGGTTTGGATTTTATTTGCCTGGGTATTGAGGAACCCACATCCCCAAGTGGTCTCTAACCGATGGTCTGAATGATTAATTACGGGATGCCCACACGTGGCCTCAAAGTCACTTGTCCCCACCCTCCTCCTCGCGCTGCCCCCCGGGGCCGAGCCATCGAGGGCCTGGGGACCCAGGTATAACCTCCTTAGTTCCTTTTCTTCCGAGCGGGAGAGAGAGATGGGGTTTTCCTGCTTCGGGCCTGGGAGATGGGGTTGGATGGAAAAGTCAAGATTCTGCCCCAAGCCCGGGGGAATGGGCGTGTCCATAAATTTTAGGCCTCAGGCCTGCAGCCCGCGCCGCCCGCGGCTGGGGAACGGAGGGTCGGGTCGGGTCGCCGCGGGGCAGCCCCGGCGAAGCTCCGGCGAGCGGCCGAGCCCCGGGCTGAGCGCCGCAGGCCCCGCCCCCTCAGCGCGCGGCCCCCTCCCCTGCTCGGGAGGCCCGGGGGCGGGGTTTGTTTACTCCGTGCACGCACCGCCGGCCTGGCCAATCCGGGGGCAGCGGCGCCTTACGTCACTCGTGCCGAGAGCCAATCGGGGCTCACCGTGCTGCTCCGCCGCCAAAGCTCGCGCGGGGGAAGCGGGGCCGTGGCCGGGTTGGGCGAGGGCGACGAGGCGGCCGGGAGCTGGGCTGCGGCCGCCGCCGCTTCTCGGCACGCGGGCGCGCTCCGAGCCTTCCTTTTTGGGCAGCCTCGCGGGCGCACGCACGGCCGGCGTCCCAGGGCCTCGGACTCGCGGGCCTCCGCCGGGCAGGCCGCGGATCGCCCACCCCTTCCCCCAGGGTGAGTCCGTCGGGACGCGGGCGCCACCGGAGCGGAGGCGCCGAAGCCGCGCCCCAGGCTCGGAAGAACAGCCCTGAGCGGCCGCCTCGTCCTCTGCAGCCGAGCGGCGGTAAGGTCCGGGGCGCGGGCGCGGGCCGCGTGCGGAGGGCCTCCGGCCCCGGCCCCTCGAGTTCCCGGGCAGCGCCCCCCCCCCCCCGAGACCATCTGTTTATTCCCACGGCGGCCCTGGCCGGGCCGAGTCCCCCCTGAGTGGGGGTGGGGGTGGGGAGGGGGTGGGGGGCGGGACCCGGAGAGCCCCTCCCCCTCCGCCCCCTCCCCCCCCGCACCCCGGGCGGGGGCAGCGTCCCCGCGTCACGCCTCGTGCGGCGGGCGGAGGGCTGCTTTCTGCTCTCTCGGGTCTCTTCAGGTCTTCAGGGCAGAACGATGGCTCCTAAGTCTGGTTTTCCGACTTTTCGGCCGCCCGTGACTCACACGCCTCCATCTGTCCCCGCCAGGTGTATTTCAGAGCCACAGAGCTCCGTGCGCTTGCGAGAACCTCCCAGGTCGCCGAAGGGAACTTCCCTCTAAAGTGGAGGGTCGCTTTGGGGGCCCGCGCGCCTTGGAGGAATTGCCCAGGGCTCGGACCCCCTCCCCCGCTGGAAAATAGAGAGGTTTTGTAGGATCGGCTCGGAGACAGGTTCCGATCGGTCTCTGGCTCCAACTTTCGTTGTCTTGCCTCGTGGGGGTCTGCAACCGCCTTTCCCAGGTGTTTCGAGGACCCGCCCGCGGACGCATTTGGACCGCGCTCGGCCGGGTCAGGCGCTCGGCGGGAGCTGGGCGTGTGTATTCCGGTCTCCCGCGGACGCGGGTTCAGAGAAGCGCCCCGTATTGTTTGTTTGTTTGTTTGTTTCTTTCTTTCTTTTTTCTGTCGAAACAGTTAACAGGCTCATCCCTTTTCATATTTGCTGCTGAAGCTCCCTTTGAGCCTTTGGTACGTTTCTCTTCCTCATTCTATCTCACAGGGCTCAGACTCCCTGTCCCACTTACTTGCTCTCTTTTTTGTAAGTCAGTAGCTCATTCTCTTTCTTCCTTCCCCCTTCTCCCCTAAATCTTAGTTTTGTGAATTTTCATTTGACTTCGGTAGCTTGATTTTTCTTTCTTTCTTTCTTTCTTTCTTTCTTTCTTTCTTTCTTTCTTTCTTTCTTTCTTTTCTTTCTTTTCTTTTCTTTTTTCTTTTCTTTTCTTTTCTTTTCTTTTCTTTTCTTTTCTTTTCTTTTCTTTTCTTTTCTTTCTTCTTTTCCCCCTGGGCCACTCTTCTTTTAATGGTTCGAAATGATCTTCACCCAATAAATACAAAGTTATTCATTTGCCTTCTGTTAGGACTGTAACCATGATCCAGGCTGTGCTCAGAATTAAACGCAAGATAATGTAGTTCATCCGACATTGCATGTTGCTTTTCTGTTTCCTTGGCTAGCCTATAATCTAGCTAAAGCTTCGTCACTATCCTATTGCTGCTATGATAAATCTTTAATAGTAGCGCCCATTCTCGAGTAACACCGGGAGAAAAATCAAATGCCTAGACCCCAGATTCTATCACCCTCGTGTACTGGCCCTGGATGCTTTTATTTATTAGAACATCTTGTGCCTGGAACTAGAGTCTGGTCTACTGGCAGACACGGTGTCTGTAGCACTGTTCTGGCGGTACAGTTGCAGTTTCAGCAATGTGGCACCTATATTTAATAAAGGCTCAACGCTTATTCCACGTACTTTTGAGTTCTCTTTATTTCTAGCGGTTTAAGAGGGAAAACGGAATTTTTCAAGTGTGTAATACTTCATATTACCAGTCTGTGATCCTGTCACTTTCTCCTCCACTCTTTTTTTTTTTAATTTTTTATTTATTTATGATAGTCACGAGAGAGAGAGAGAGAGGCGTAGAGACACAGGCAGAGGGAGAAGCAGGCTCCGTGCACCGGGAGCCCGACATGGGATTCGATCCCGGGTCTCCAGGATCGCGCCCTAGGCCAAAGGCAGGCGCCAAACCGCTGCGCCACCCAGGGATCCCTCCTCCACTCTTTTAAATGTGTAGTCCGACTGGCACTTTCAGAGTTTTTCCCTTGCAGCCAAAAACTCTTTAACTGAGCTGTGTGTTCTCAATACAAATTGAAACTGGACGCACAGATGATTATCTCTAATGTGAGAAGAATTTGTGGCTGAAAATTATGCACTAAAAGATACATTAAAGGATTCAAAGACTTTTTTTATAATTAGGAATTGAAATGTGAATAGACTTTTTTTTTAACATGATAGAAAAACTGGGTTTGTCCTGCTGTTGCTAATTTATGTTTTATATTTTTTAAAAAATGCATGATATTTACGTTGCACCACAGCATTTTAAAGCCCTTTTAGATATTTGAAAGTTTTTAGAACACGATGAAACAGACTAAGCAAAAATTAAATTCATGGCAAAGGTAGTGAATTCGAACATAAATATTCTGACTTCTGTTGTTAGTCTGTCATTCTTAACAGTTAACTCAGAAATAGGATAAGAAGGGAGAGTTTATTTATGTTTTTTTAAAGATTTTATTTGTTTATTTGACAGAGCACAAGGAGAGCGAGCTGCAGAGGGAGAGGGAGAAGCAGCCTCCCCACTGAGCAGGGAACTCCAGGTGGGGCTTGATCACAGGACTTTGATATCCTGACTTGAGCCAAAGGCAGGTGCTTAACTGACTTGAGCCACCCAGGTACCTCAAGAAGGGAGCATTTAAAATAAAGCTTTGTTTGTTTGTTTGTTTATAGATTTTATTTATTCATGAGAAACACACAGAGAGAGAGAGAGAGAGAGAGAGAGGCAGACACTCAGGCAGAGGGAGAAGCAGGCCCCATGCAGGGAGCCTGATGTGGGACTCGATCCTGGGTCCCCAGGATCACACCCGGGGCTGAAGGCGACGCTAAACCACTGAGCCACCCAGGCTGCCCTAAAATGAAGTTTTAAAAGCAGAGCAGGGAAATTTCTAATTTGAGCATTAGATATTGAGTAGTACATCTTAGCATCTTTTTATCTTTAAACTTAAGTCTGTTTCTTTTAAAGGTTAAATAATAAGCTACACTATCTAAGAAATTACTCACAGTAAAGTTTACATTGTCACTTGGCAAATTTTACTTCTTTTTTTTTTCTGACTTTGTCATCACATATTTTAGACTAATAGCAAAATGTATCATAATAGATCTTAGAAGAAACTGGAAAGCATAGAGTTGAGGTTTTTAGATCATAGTACTGTAAGTTGTAATGAATTTTAAAGATTATTAGATATACTTGCCTTTTCATACTTAAATCCTTTCCATTTTGATCTGAGACATCTTACTATAAGGGTGGGGCATGAATAGGTTTAAAAGTAGGTTTATGGACTCTTGGAAATTTTATGCAAAATTGTATACATTTGTGTATTTTTCTGGAGAGAAGATTCATAGTTATCTAGTTTCTGAGGCATAGGTATTTGGACAATTCCAATTTTTACAATGTGATTTCCTTTACTGAACCAGAAATTCCATCTTCACTGGTTCTAATTCTGTCTCTTCCATAAGTGGGGTTTCAACTATTTGAAGATACTTTTTATAGTCCATTAATTCTTTCTTTAGAAAAAATATTCTGTCTTTTGATTTGAGGCTCCTCACATTACTGATAGCTTATTTGTGGATTTGCTTCAGTTTATCCATATTCTTCTTAAAAGTGTGGTATCCATAGATATTTAATCAGTAAAGAAGACCGTAAGTTACCTCTCTGATTTTAAAACATGTACTTTAAGATTAAGAGTAGATTTGCTTCTTTGGCAACCACATTGTACTGTTAGTTCATAATAATGTCCTGGCTGAGAAGACAAACTCTGGAGCTAACCTGCCTGGGTTTAAATCCTAGCTCTTCAGTTTATCAGCTGGGTGACCTTGAGTAAAATATGTAAACATTTTTTGGACCACAATTTTCTCATATGTAAAATGGGGTTTATAATAGTACCTGTCTCATAGGATTGTTAAATTTTTTTAATTTATTTTTGATAGTCACACACACACACACACAGAGAGAGAGGCAGAGACACAGGCAGAGGGAGAAGCAGGCCCCATGCACCAGGAGCCCGACGTGGGATTCGATCCCGGGTCTCTAGGATCGCACCCTGGGCCAAAGGCAGGCGCCAAACCGCTGCGCCACCCAGGGATCCCTCTCATAGGATTGTTAAAAGGAATAATTGAACATATGCTGTGTAAAGCATTTAGAATGACCCCTGGCATTTAAGTGCCATATACATCACCTTTTATTACTGATTTTGTAGTCAACTAAAATTCTTGAGTTGTTTTGCTATGTTCTCCCAATTTTTTAAAAGAATTTTTTTTTGTTAGGACTTCATATTTATCTATATTAAATTTTATCTTGTCAGATGGGTTCCATTCTGTTGACTTTAACAATGAAAAAAATATTTGGTCATATGATAAATATGGATTTATTAGATTTGATAAGCTGTAAGTTTGATAATGCTGACATTGCCTTCATGCACATCTTATTAAAATGTTGATTAGGCAGGGGTGAAAAAGGTTTGCTCTACTAGAGATTCTCTTAAGATTAATTAAAAAAACTTATTAATTCTTTGGCTTAAGTTGTTCTGACAGAAATTCAGCTAATTTAGCATATTCACCCCAAATATTTCCAAATTTTCACAAGAAACATATAAAAAACTTAAATAATTGCCTTCCTAAAATCTAGATAATTTTATGTACTTCATTTTAAAAAAAATCCTACCAGATAATTTTATATACTTAATTTAAAAAAAAATCAACCCTATCAGTTCAGTAACTGTCAGGAAAAGACCAGTAATCTGCCATTATTTGTCCTTAATTAACTGCTATACTGGTTTCCAGTGGTATTTGTTGGTTACTATCTTTTCCATGTTCACAAACTTATCTAAGAAATGATTCTAGAATCCTGGCTAGAGTTATATTTAACTTCAGCAATCAATAGTTGACAGGATCACCTTTCCCTCCTTTTTTTTTTTTTTTTTTTTTTTTTTTTTTAAGTAGGCTCCACACCCAGTGAAGAGCCCAAAGCAGGGCTCAGAGTCATGACCCTGAGCTGAGATGAAGAGGCAGATGCTTAACTGACTGAGCCACCCAGGTTGCCTTCTCCGTTTTTGAATAGTACCACTGCATATCCTGTCTTTGGCCTTATGGGATCCTCTCTTGCTTCCCATAGTTTCTGAATAGTTGCCAGCAGCTACGTGGAAATTTCATCTGGAGCTGTATACCTCGTGGACGTTTTGCCTGGAACAGTTAAGAACTCTGTAATCTCATTCCTATTGAGCTTTGGTTTTCATTAATTTGTTGATTAAATTTATTAAATGCCCTTTTTATACAGAATACCAGTGTTTGTTTAACCACATCCAATCAGAGGATTTTTCTTAATAGAGATGCCTGAAGTAAAACTGTAAGCCACATCTTTGTCTCTCCATTCCTGCAGTTACCATAGTCTGGGCCTCCCTTCTTTCTTCTCTGGACTCTAGTAATAACTTCCTATTGACCTTCCTTCTCTAATCTTTTTCTTTCTCTAATGCTTCAGCATTACAGCCAGAGTCATCCTTGTTTTTAAAATGTATGGATTTCTTTAAAATCTTTTCTTCCTCATTGGAATAATCTGTAATGATCTAATTAGATTTTTAACTCTCAGTACTTTTCAACTCTTAGTTTTTCTGCTTACTATCCTTTTAAAGTCAAGCCTCCCCCCCACCCCCCGCCACTTTTTAGCCTTCCTTGTTATTAGGGATAATATGTACCATTAGCCAGATAGGCATGGAGGATTGGTGACTTCTAGCTAGCCTTTGTGTGAATCACTCAGCAGACAGGCATGGAGTGCTTACTAGATTACAGGCACTGTGTGAGGCGCTGAGTTGACAAACTTGACAAAACCTCAGCCCTTCCAGAATTCTAAGTCCAGGGAGGGGCACCTGGGTGGTTCATTTGGTAAGTGTCCTGCTCTTGATTTCTACTCAGGGCACGATCTCAGGGTTGTGAGATTGAACCTGTGTGGGGCTCTGTTCTGGGCGTGGAGCCTGCTTAAGATTCTCTCTCTCCCTTTGCCTCTCCCTCTGCCTCTCCCTCACCCTAACCCTTGTGCAAGCAACACTTTAAAAAAAAAAAAAAGGAAAGAAGGAAAAAGAATTCTAAGTGCAGGAAAAGATAAAATAGAAGAAAGGATTTGGAGAACCAAAAATCTTTTTTTTTCACATTCAAAAGCATAATAAATTTTTAAGAGATTCTATTTTACTTTAAATAGCCAAGTATGTGGTTACTGAAGAATTAGTTTGTTAAAGTGACTGATTCAGTTGTAGTTAAGTTATATCAAATTGTAAAAGAGCAGATCTATAAATATGGAAAAATAGTACATATTTCAAACTGCCAAAATAAAATGTTTAATCAGAACTAGAAGCAGAAGGTGGTTATAGGGGGATGGGCAAAAAGCTGTGAAGGGGGAGTGTGAGGTGCGGGTTTCTAGTTATGGGATAACTAAGTCACAGGGATGAAGGTTCAGCATAGGCAGTATGGTCAGTGGAGTTAGAGTTTTATGGTGAAGGATGGTAGCTACACTTGTGAATCCAGTGGTAACATAGGGAGATGTTGGGCCACTATGTTACATATTTGAAACTAATGTAACATTGTGTGTCAACTATACATCAATAAAAAGATAAAAACTAACCATAAATAAAAGCAGAAAAGTGGTTATATAAACCTATTTCCACTTTTTCAGAGGCTCTGTCCTCTGAAACATACAATGAGGTGCTGCCTTCAAAAATAAAAAACAAAAAAAGTTACTGGAAGCACTAACTTCTCTTTTACAGTTCACTCAAGAATGGACAGTTAAAAAATCAATTTAAGTTTTTCTTCACAGCATCCTTGAAATTATGGTGGTAATATAAAACTACCTATAAAAGGAGGATTTATTCATTGCTATTCAAAGGAGAGAAAGGTGATGATAAGCAGTTGCACTCAGAACATATACAACTAACAAGTGGTGGTCCGTAAAGTGACTTCTAGGTAAGTAAGTGTTTGGAAAACCTGTCAGATAGTAATTCTGCACTATTTGATACATTTTAAGCTATAAAAATATAAGTAGAAAATTTTGTAAGCATAATGATTATCTTTAAGTTGAACAAGTCAGTATTTGGAGGCAACAGAATAATATATTAACTGTGCAGGCATTCCAAGAAACATAAACTGAAAAATCAGTGTGAAAAATTCCATCATTATGTATGAAAAGAAGTAAAATTTTTACTGATGTTAACCTTCTGCCTAATTTGCCATTAAATTCATACTATCCCAGACATACTATATATCACAGTTGCTGTAAAAATAGCTACTAAAGTATTCTTTCTTCCTGAACCAAATTCTTTTTTTTTTTTTCTATTGTTACTGTATCAGATCCAGTGGTATTCTTGGGATAATCAGGACTATAACATACTACAACTCAGAGAAAGATCTGTTTCGAGTTTAGTTGTGTAGGCTAGTTGAAGTTATGCTCTAGGGAAAAGAGTTCAAAACAATTGAATTTCCTCTCGACATAAGTGACATAAAATAAGTTTCAAGAAACTAAAATGCTAAGCAAAAGCATGTGAAATTAATACTACGGAAATGACTTTTTAGAAAGGGGTCACAACAAACAAAACACTTCTTCCTCATAACAAAGACATTCCAAGAGATGTGAGAGAGATCATACTAAGTAAGGAAAACAAGAGATTCTGTTAATATAAGTAGCTCATTGAAAAAAATGAAATTCTGTTTAAAAGGCCATTCCTTCATAATCTGCAAGATGTAAAAGATCGTGACATATTTTCCGTGATATATTTTCTAGGATTAAGTAAGAAAATAAAGATCCATAGTCTGAATATTTTGTACTCATTATGAATTTGTAATGGCTTACTTTACCCAACACCTACTACGTGGTAAGGATCTCAATTAATTCTTCCCCAAAGTGTATGAGATAGATTTAATGTCTTTCATTTTACAGATAAAGACACAACTTACTTTACAGGGATCAGGAAAGCAGTAATGGCAGAGCTGGGGCTGACACATGAATCTGTAGAGCTCTAGTGCTGGTCACTTCACTATACTGCTTTGCTAAAATACTGTCTTAGGACATTAACATTCATGCAAGAACCCAACAATCTTTATAGCTTATTCCTAGTTGGTCTTTCCAGTATAGTTTCTGTTTTTATTCTAGAGTGTTGTGAATTTATCCAAATACAAGTGAGTAAGTGACTTGAAAATTAGCCATTGTTTTTGACTGAATATCCTATCACTGTGTCACTGTTTACTAATTGAAAAAATAGTTTCTGTGTCATGTATGTGGTATCTTCAATTCAGCTGTATTTCAGTTAATTGGTTAAATCATGATTATGAGCTATGTGAATCTATTATACTGACAATTTGCTGCAAATAAAAATAAGTACCTATTTAGATAGGGCGCACTAACTTCTTCGTAACAAATAATTTTATTATACGGTCTGTATCATGTGTCATATGTCCTTTTATATTGTTTAAAAATTAAATGTATGTAGGCTAAAAGAAAAAAATGGGTATAATGAAATGATGTAAAATCTCAAAGTTGTGATGAAAGAAGAGAAAGAGGCTAAAAGTGTTTCCAGAAAGTAAGAAGAATAAAAATATAATTGCAAATAATAGTGGCACAGAGCAGAAGCAGCATGTATTTCATAATTACAGACATGGTGGCCAGTTCAATTTATGTCTGGGAAATTGAATATGCAACAGGAAAATAAGTGTATTTAAAAATAAGATTCTATCTTCATCAGAGTGGAATATGTAGCACAAAAGAATTCTTTTTTTCTCTTTGCCTTTAACTTTCGGCATATATTGAAGCATTGTGACAAACTGAATGGAGCTCAGATCTTAGTATCAAAAACCTTTGACTTATTTAGTGCTTATTCTTGTTTATGTAAAATTTACTTGAGTATTTCAGTCTGGAAAGAAATATTTTGACTCAGATTGGCCTTGAGTGAAAACAGGAAACTATTACATTAATTTGACTGTTACATAAAACTTTCTCTGATTTTTTATTTTAAGTACCTCATGGGTAGAATAATCCTCCGCCCACCATCTAGTTGTTTATTAGTCTTCCCATGACAATACACAGAATATGAAGCAGTTTTTCATGTTGTAACTAAAGCAGTTTTGATGGATTTTATGCAGTTAACCTACATCTATTTTAAGTAACCAGTCTGTGTAGTACTTTTATGTCCAATACTGGAAGTTCTCACAGTTTACGTATTCTAGTGCTTACACGGTGTGGATCTTACTGCCTCTGATAGCCCCCATTAAGACACTTCCTATTTTATCTACTCTTTGTTTTAAGAGTGTGCTCTAGGAGATCAGGTGGCTAAGGATGAGGAAATAAAGTAGGCTAATTGTGCTTCCTGGATTCTTCTGGGCTTTTAGGGTCTAAGGTTTGTCTTTCTGACTTCTAGTATTAATACTTGGCTGTTGCAAGTTTTAAAATATTCTAAAAGGCTTTCTTCATATTTTTTGTCCCATTCTCCACAGTTAAAATCATGTTTTTAAAAAACTATACTTTTTATTGAAAAGTGATACTTTTTAATTTTTAATTTTATTATTCATGAGAGACACACACACAACAGAGGTACAGAGACACAGGCAGAGAGAGAAGTAGGCTCCATGCAGGGAGCCCGACGTGGGACTCGATCCCGATCCCGAGACCCCAGGATCACGTCCTGGGCTGAAGGCAGCGCTAAACTGCTGAGCCACCTGGGCTGCCCAAAGTGGTAGACTTTTAAAAATTCCACAGATTTTCACTAACTAAACGACAACTCTGTAACCACCACCCTAGATCCAGAAACAAACCATTCCAGCACCATAGTATTACTTTGCAGTCACAAACTCTTCCTAACTTCTAAGAGCCTGGATTGGTAAAAAACCATAACCACATCTACTTTTAGTTCTTTTGATGGTTATCAAACTCTTAATGGTATAATTATTGCTCTGTTTCTTTAAAAAAAAAACTTTATTTTTAACTAATTTTAGACCTACAGGAAAGTTGTAAAAGTTGTACAGAGAGTTAATTATATTCCTCAGCCCATTTTCCTAATGTTAACATTTTATATAATTGTAATTATTAAGAGCAAGAAACTAACATTGGTACAATATTATTAGCTAAACTACAGACCATACTTGAATTTCATCAATTATTTTCACTAATGATGTTTTCTGGTCCAAGATCCTATCCATGTTCCTACATTGCTTTTATTTATTTATTTATTTACTTACTTATCTTCCTTCCTTCCTTCTTCCTTCTCCTTCCTTCCTTCCTTCCTTCCTTCCTTCCTTCCTTCCTTCCTTCCTTCCTTCCTTCCTCCTTCTTCTTGACAGAGAGAGTGAGAGGCAGAGACAGGCAGAGGGAGAAGCAGGCTCCATGCAGGGAGCCTGACGTGGGACTTGATCCCGGGTCTCCAGGATCACGCCCTGGACTGAAGGTGGTGCTAAACCACTGAGCCACCCAGACTGCCCTCCATATGAATTTTAGAATGGATTTTTCTATTTCCATAAAAAACATCATTGGGATTTTGATAAAGATTGTATTGAATATGTACATCATTTGTGTATTTTAATCATAAGTTTTCCATCCACAAACAGGTTGTCCATTTGTGTCTTTAATTTCTTTCAGCAATGTTTTATAAATAAATTTTTATTTATTTATGATAGTCACACACACACAGAGAGAGAGACTGCTGCTAATGGGTATGTTATTTCTTCTTGGGGTGATGAAAATGTTTTGGACTTAGGTAGTGGTGACTGTTGCACATACTTAGGAATATATGACAGATGACTGAATTGTATACCGTAAAGGGTGAATTTTATATGTGATTTATATCTCAATAAAGCTCTTAAAAAAAAGCTATTTGAGGAAATTTTTAAAAACTCTTAAGACAGTAAAGAAGACATGAACAAGAAAAAATGTATCTTGTTCTTGGGTAAGACAACTGAACATCATAAAGATATAAATTCTCCCTAACTTAATACATTCAGTGTAATCCCAATAAAAATACTAACAAGCGATTTTATGAGGTTAGACAAGTTGATATTAAAGTTGATAACAGGGATCCCTGGGTGGCGCAGCGGTTTGGCGCCTGCCTTTGGCTCAGGGCACGATCCTGGAGACCCAGGATCGAATCCCACATCGGGCTCCCGGTGCATGGAGCCTGCTTCTCCCTCTGCCTGTGTCTCTGCCTCTCTCTCTGTGTGTGTGTAACTATCATAAATAAATAAAAAAAATTAAAAAAAAATAAAGTTGATAACAGGTCCCCAGTCACTGAGCTGCCGCTGAGGACTCAGCAGCCTCCTGCTCGAGTCCCCTTGCTCCCTGACGCTCACTGAAGCTTAAGTGAGGATTTCCTTGCAATGAGTAGAATTTTTTTTAAAATTTATTTATTTATGATAGTCACAGAGAGAGAGAGAGAGAGACAGAGACATAGACATAAGCAGGCTCCATGCACCGGGAGCCTGACGTGGGATTCAATCCCGGGTCTCCAGGATCGCGCCCTGGGCCAAAGGCAGGCGCTAAACCACTGCGCCACCCAGGGATCCCTGAGTAGAATTTCCCTTCTGTCCCTTGTCACAAGTTTAAAAACCTCACAGCTTGTATAATGTAACCATTTGGGGGTCTGCTTTTACCTTGGACTAGTGTAACTCCTTCATGCAATAAACTGAAAAGAGCCAAAAAAAAAAAAGTTGATAACAGGGACGCCTGGGTGGCTCAGTGGTTAAGTGCCTGCCTTCAGCTCAGGGCATGATCCTGAAGTCCCAAGATCAAGTCCCACATCGGGCTCCCTGCAGAGAGCCTGCTTCTCCCTCTATGTCTGTGTCTCTCTTGAAAAAATAAATAAAATCTTTTTAAAAATAAATAAATAAAAGTTGATACAGAGGGATGCCTTGCTGGCTCAGTCAGTAGAGTATGTGACTTTTAACCTCAGGGTCTTGAGTTAATAAGGCCCATATTGGGTATGGAG